AGGCCCTGAGGCCAACATTTTGTTTCACATCCTCTCTGGCCGAACTTGCTAAAATGCCCTGCAGATTCCACCTCATCTGACGTGTTACATAGAGTGGTTTCCAGCAAAAGGAACTTAACTCGCTAAGTGCAGGCAGAACTGTTAAGCGAATTTGCAACTTAAACTGTTTTTCTTGTACGTTAGAGAACTGTAAATACACTCAAGAACTTATGGAAGTATCACATGGTAAGAAGCTGCTGACAGCCTACAGCTGGGAGGTATCATTAATGCAGATGACACCTGGAAATCCGAACTAGGTGACTTTAAGACTAGTAGAGCTGAGATTGAATTTATTAGAGAGAGCATGTGACATGGCTTTCAGGTCTAGTAACAAGAATACTGCTGCTGTGAGTTCAGTAATTTGGAAGAAAGTGAGACCCAAGTGTGCTTAACAACAGGTTGGCTACCAAGTGTCCACTGAATGCAGCTTCAGAAAAAAGATAGGTCTGGTCCTTTGGTGTTATCAAGTTTCTCATATGCTTTGGGTGTCGGTCTCTTCTCCCAGGTAATGGGCGATAGGACAAGAGGAAATGGCCTCAGGTTGCACCCAGGGGAGGCTTAGGTTAGACATTAGGAAAAATTTCTTCACAGAAAGGGTTGTCAGGCACTGGAATGGGCTGCCCAGGGAAGTGGTCGAGTCCCCATCCCTGGAGGTATTTAAAAGACAGGTAGATGAGGTGCTTAGGGACATGGTTTAGTGGTGGGATGGCAGCGTTAGGTTAACGGTTGGACTTGGTGATCTTAAAGGTCTTTTCCAATCTAAATGATTCTATGATTCTTTCAGCTGAAATAGCACCTAGTCTGATCATCTGTGCTCAAGAAAGATGGACTACAGTAGATACTTCCAAAAGGTAACAATAACCTTTTTTTGCAATTTTGTTATGTTGGGCTAAATGTTAGGAAAGGAGGACAACTTATTTTTTTGGCATGTGACGTGGCACTATGAAAAAAATTAGTCTGAAGATCAGTGATCAGTATAATGAAGAACAGTGTAATGAGATTTGCAAATAATTTTGACACAAAATATGCTTTTGAAAGTTATGACCAGTTTGGTTTAAGAAAGATGCAATGGTCCTGTTACGCAGGTCCCTGAATTAATGGAATCAAAGCATACTGTTCATTAAATTCTTAGAATCATCTCAAGTTGTACCATTTTACAGTATTTGCCAGTTTACTGACTTTAAAAATTGATAAAAAAATTACTATGCATTTCTCCATGTGTTCAAATATGTGTTGAACATGCTATGTCTGAATATTAACCATAGATCTATTCACAACTGAATTCCTGAAGAAGAATTTTGTAAGGACTGAAGTTACTGCAGAAAGTTGCAAGGATGAGGAAAGATGAAAGCTGAATTCTGCTAAGATCTAATTAATAAGCTCCAATCCTACAAATACCACTGTCTCTAACTTTTGCTGCTCCAGGCTGCAAAAGCAGTCCCTATGTTTGTGGGATCTGGTTTTAAATGATGACAGAGAGATTATTACTGATACTACCTGGTAACCTCTGTTTAATTACAGCTCTTGTTTGATTTGTATCAAATTCATCATTCATGTAGGGTGGGGGAATAAAAAAAAAAAAGCTGATACAGAGATGTTGTTATGCAGAGATTGCATTTCAGACAAGGCTCCATTAACATCTTTTGTCTTGCTGCCGGTTCATCTATGAAGACCACAGGAAGTCTGAGTTTGTTTTTCCTTTCTAGATGTCACCCTCCAAGATCCTGAAGTAAACCAGAATTTACCTTTGCTTCCCAACTCTGATTTGCTATTAACTATTAACAAACACACTCAAGTTAAATATGCATCATCCCTTCCAGAAGACTTTTTTTAAAAAAAGCTTTATTAAACATATACTCTTTAGAACATATTTAAAGACTTCTACGACCTTGAAGGAATCCTCTATCATACACAAAAGTTCTTATTTTCAGTACTAAATAAAGCACATTAACAGGTGCTATTCACACATTGCAACTGATTTGTACCAGAGGTGGCTACTGGTAACTGAAACAACGTGTAGAAAACTATCTCACTAACATCTTTAAACTGGTTTAGCATCTGCATAGTACAGAAGGAATATATAATCATCTGTTCTGTATGACTACAGTTTAGTACTGAAGGCAGTAGTGGGCTACTAGTATCTGTTTCTTTCTATCAGTAATAAAGTGTGTATCTCCTGAAGTATATAAAAACCCCTAACTTCAAGTACAAAGAAAGCTAAGTAGCTCAGGTACATTTCCACATGAATAGAAGCTGGTTTATAGCATTAAACAGCCATCTCCATTTTAATAGGTGGATGAGGATTATAATCTTCAATCTGAAAGTCTTCTGCCTTAAAGTCACTGATGTCTTCAACCTTACGAAGAATTCTCAGTTTGGGGAAAGGTCTTGGCTCCCGCTGAAGCTGAAATAAAAGCAAGCTTATTGTATAAAGCTAATACTTGAAGGCAGAGATTTTGTGTTATAAATTAGATCTCATTAATCTAAATTCAGATTACACTATGTAGATTTTCCCTCCTCCCCAACACGACTTACACTCAAAAAAAAAAAAAAAAAAAAAAAAAGGAAATTATAATATGGTTAGGTGGAATCTACTTTAGTATTTTGATAGGGAGCAGTAGCATAATTTTAGAGTGGATTCCCTGATCATCCAAATGCACTGTAAGCATTTTCAGTTTGCAAAGCAATTCTGGTGGTTGCAGGTTAGATTCATTCCAGAGGAAACTAAATTGGAAATTCTGACCCAGATGTGCATCCAATGTGCTGCAGTTTCTTACAGGAACATTCGGGTCCGAACCAATAACTAGTTCTCCAGATGGCTTTGAACCATACAAGCAATGAGGACATTCAGTCTCAGCTGATAACATTCTGACTTGCTCCTACTGCAACAAATCACTTCCTGAAAAAAATACATTCCTATTCAGCCATATAGTAATACTAATTAACTCTGTGAATTGGTAAGTTATCCTTTTCTGATATACTACAAAGACATTTTATTTTGTGTTTATCTGTATTAGGTGGAATGGTTTTCTAAGGCTTTGGAATGATGAAGTCAAAAGTAGGGGTACAGATTCTGGATCTCTAACTTGGTTCTGGAATAGTACACTGATGTACATTTCAGTCATGTTTGTATTGTGTTTCTGTTTGTGACCTGAGTTGAACAGAGGTTAAGGGTAGAAATGAGAAGAAAAGCCCCACAAATTAATATTTGTAAAATGATATTTATAATACCAAGATAAATTTGTATTGGATAACCACTGCGGAAGATAAAAGGATACAAGAATACAGAATAAGTACTTACTTGAACTTTTAGAGGTTCCACGTGATTCAGATATATGTGAGCATCTCCTAATGTGTGTATGAACTCTCCAGGCTGAAGAGAAAGGAGAATGTGGTCTTCAAATAGTCAGGTTTCAAGAAAGCAAAACGTTACAATGCTTACAGTATTGATTCTTAGCATCTTACATCTAGTGTGGAATTGCAGCTTCTGTACTGGATCAGATTATCAAGACGTCCTTGCAAGCTTCGAAGGACACCACCTTCCCAGACTAATGCATAATTAATGAAAAATATAATGAAATTTCCACTAGCTTACCAAAAAATTTATCTTCAAAATCCTGCTAGGATAACAGCTTCGGTAAATGAACGGAGCACTACTGATCTGCTCATCAAGATGGAAACAGATGGGGCAGTGACATCCAGCTTTTCCACTCCACTGCTACTAAGTAGGACTTCCCAAAGTTGGTGTCAAACTAGCTGCCTTAGCCACTACGTAACGACGTAGTTTGTGGCAGTGGAGGTGTCAGTCACTGGCTAAACTGCAAAGAACTTATCAAGCACCTGGATGGGTTTTGCAAGCTTGCAAGTTCTGTGAGTTAGCAGCCCCTGAGCAATCTAATTTAACTTAGGTTCAGTTTTATCGTGTTTTACTGCCCTCTGACCGATGTTGATCTACATGCCCTTGGAGATATCATGCCAAAAACCACCAAAGCTGTGAGAGGAAGTGGCTGAGCGGCAACAGCTACTTTATGGGCATAATGTTAAACTTCACTTTTTCTAGTACCTTGACCTAATTTCTTAAGTATGTCTGCAATTGCTGTGAAGTCCAATTCTTCCCTACTTCCCTATTTTAAGTTCCCCTTCATGTTGCTGGTAGCAGGAGGATCAGGCCCGAGCAGCCTCGCTAGTATAATGCTTTACATGCTCTGAAGAAAAGGGGGTTTCACTTGTACAAGGTTGTGGTGCATTTAAATTACTCTGCCAAATTACAAAATACAGCTCTGGAGTCAGGGCAGTAGCTATTTGAGCACATACTACCACTCTACATAATCATCTACAGTCGGAAATGAAAAAATACCCAACTGAAATTACAGCTGGAAGTTAGGTAGGCACAATATCCAAATTGGAACCTCGACAGAAACCGCTGAGCTACTGTTCGCTTCCAATAAAAAACACATGCTACAAAATTTAATCACTTGTATATTATTATCCCATAAGGACAAGTGCTCAGTTCAGATTTCTAAGAAGTAGACTAGTGGAACAGGTCAGTTTTGACATGTTCAGTTAAAAGGACCTGGAGGATCTTCTGTCTGTTTGACCTGAATTTAAGAATTCTTACATTGCTGATCCTAACTGGCCGCACAGACCAGAAACAATTCACATTAAGTTCATGGGGCCCTTTCTTACACATATTTCAGCAAGATTTTGAATAGTATGATCATTCCAGTTTTTCTTGGACATGACATGAAGAGTCTTATCTTTTAGTCCCTCAATTCTCAGAAAAAATTAAGAAAAATGATTAAGTAGCCTACCTTTAGCCCTGTGACATGGGCAATCATGTATGTGAGCAGTGAATAGCTGGCAATATTGAAAGGCACTCCTAGTCCCATATCTCCAGACCGCTGATAGAGTTGGCAAGACAATTCACCATTTAGAACATAGAACTGGCAAAGGGCATGGCACGGAGGCAAAGCCATCAGAGAAATATCTAGGAATTGCAGTAAAAGAAGGATGGGGGGGGGGGGAAAAGGGAGCAGCATTAGTGTGTTATAAATGTAGAAGATGCAAAACCTGAACAAGCATTTAATGAGATACATTAGAGAGCAAAAATCCAACTGCACTATCATTTGGTTGTTTCTTCTCTTGTTTAAAAGCACCTGCTGCCTAAGCAACTAAGCAATTAAGTCTGGGTCATGACAAGCTGTCTCCTGGGCCGTATGACCAGAAAAGTCATAAACAGATATTCCACGGAACACTTACGCCATAATGCTGCACAGCAGTTTATTTTACTCACCTCAGTGAGACCGTTATTTTCCCTAAAGACACTAAGAGTAAAATTAAGCATGTACCCTAAAGCGACTTCCAACTGTGTCATCTTACTCTCTTCCCATTGCAACATGCCTTTACTGCTTGTTGAGATACAAAAGTAATGATTGATAAAAAATAGTAATCAGAAAACAAAAGATCTTCTGAGTGTTTATCTACACTTAAAAGTGCAGATAGTGCAATTAGTTTGGTACGGAAAACTTCAACGGGTTTCTCCTGATGTCTGAGAATGTTTAACCCTAAAACACCAGCACGTGGCATCCCCTTTCAGAGACACAAGTGGAAATGCTGGATGGTTTTTTTTTTGTGCATAGATCTACTGCTGCTGAAGTTAAACATTCTCCGGCACTAGCTCTTATTTATTAGAAGTATCCCTGCAGAATGAACGGATATCTAGACAACTATGCTCAAGGAGGTGATTACAACACAAATAATATTTTTGTTCTCTAGTTTTAAGGTTTTTGTTAAGTTTACAATTTATTATATGGCTAAAAACCAGACACACAGCTTCAGTATACTTTTTTTTTTTTTAAAACCTTTTTACAGTAAGAAATGCTATCTTTGAACTGTATGTCAAAGACACTGGTAGCCAGGTATATCCCTCACTTCAACCTGGAGAGAAAAGCTTCGAAGTAATGGTTCAAAATTTCTGAGGTCTCAACATGAGAATTAAGTAGAAGGAGAACCAGGCTTACAACCCCTGGCCATTTTTACTGCATTCCTGGTAGTTTTATAAATAATAAACAAGGACACCAAATGGAACTGACTTGACACAGAATTAGAACATAAGTTTAGCATACACCAGGATAATGTGCAGCTGCATTCACTTAAAGTCTGCTGTTCAATACCTTTGGGATTCCAAGCACACATAATGATTCTTCTGTCATCTGGATTGGTTTTAATTGTTTCAATCACTTTTTGCAACTGGTCAACTCCTTGGTTGGAGTAATCTGCAGAAAAATACCAAGTAAGATCTAAGCCATACAGATTCAAGTCATACCTTTTTAAAGCCCAGCCCACATCCCACTGAACAGTGGTACTCAAATGACAACCTCTGAAGATTTTATTGCAGCTTTGAAAGTGATTACATTTATCAGGTGGCACCCTCCAAATGTAGGCTATTCTTGATGTTCCTTAGGGTGCTCTAAGGCTTGCAAAATCCTTGCTAGTATTTTTGTATGTCCCTCCACCTCTTTTGTGGGCTTTGAGTACCTTTAGCACCCACTGAAATAGGACCATTCCTGTTTAGAACACTTCATTCCAAGCCTCAACAACTAGACCTTTTTTAAGACCAAGTAAGAAGTCTGCATAAACACTACATCCCAGGAAAGAAAAGTTGCAATACAAAAAAATTAATTGGACAAAGCATGTTCTTTATCATTCGTGATGACTTGTTACCTAAATAGGACAAAAGCTGTACTGGAATGAGCAAGATATTACCACCTAGTCATCTGCGGTATTTAAAGTAATTTGCTCATTGCATTTCTGGATTAAGATGCCTTTCTAGACATTAATCTTGCATGCTACAGTGCTCCTTAAAAAAAATAGTAAATACATATATATATGCCCAGACCAGTAACATGGGGCGCTGGCATTCTTTCCATGCTCAAAAGGAGGAAGTTTTTGACAGATGAATAAACACATCCATCTAGCACTCACAAGGTCATGTATCAAAACTACATTTCCATAGCATTTAGTGCCAGAAGGGAACTTTAATCATGTATAGCACAGGATATTACATTTCACCCAATTACGCTCGCGGGCTGATTTTTAGGCTCAATATCAGTTATATAAGAAATTCACCGGAATTAACTGAACATTAGAATAGATTCCAGAATAAAAGAGTCATTAGTTGTAACTCATTGTTCTGACTCATGCCAGTGAATCAGCATGGCTGGTAACTCATTTTTTCTAATAACTCTTATTGCAAAGCAACACCAAATTATGGTTACAGGGAGACCCAAGCTGGTAAACAAGGTAGTAATATATAATTAGCATCTCAGAGAATTCTTCTGCCAGCAATACTGTGCCAGAAGCCTTTTCAAATGATTATGTTAGCTCCTGAAGCTAATTACCTATCCGTTAGTATTGCAACTTAAGGAATTCTATTAGTAATGAAACCTATGGGAATTTATCTCATTTACTTTTTCCAAACTATGTTATGCCTCAGACCCTTTAAGTTCAGGAATGCTAAAACATTTTAGTAAGTTTTTAGATGTGTCAGTTCACAATTTGCATCATTTGTGGTAGCATAAAACTGTATTCTGCCAGCAGTCAACATGCCAATACTAAGTCTAGTATCTGTAACTAATGTGAGTTTTGAGACTGTATTGACAGAAAAACAAGAGGAAAAAATACAATTAACCGTGTGGTTATTCTGAGTTAAAAATCACACCAATTAGATAGGGACAATCTTTTTTTGAGTCTTTTTATTTAATGGCAGTCCTCTTAAACATTTTGTACATCCTCTCGTAGAAAAGAGACACTTCAGGGTAAGTTTAATGAACCAGTTCCACTGAAAATTACACCAACAGGTACTCATCACATCATAACTTGTTACAGCTATTCTGTCCACAGCTACGGATGCATCCTACTTTGTTCCAGCTGCAGAATGGAAAAATCTTTCTCTTCCACAGTCTGCAGTGAATGTACTGCACTAACATCAGCTCTTGCCAGCACAATTGTATCATGGGAATTGGGACCCTGCACGAGTATTCTGGAAGTGAGGTGTCACAGTCATCTCACTTAGCAATCAAGATTGTATTAGTATGTGATTACCTGTGTGCATATCTTTGTATTCTGCTCCAAAGTGCCTCCACTGGAATCCATAAACTGGTCCCAAATCCCCCTCCTCTCTGGTGCTGAAACCCTGCTTATCCAGGAACTCACGTGATCCATTAGCATCCCAAATCTTCACACCCTTTGCAGAGAGCTCTTTGGCATTTGTAGAACCCTACAAAACACAGACAGTAGGAAGCCTACATCCTAATCCCAACACAGAGGACATGATTTGAAACAGCTGCATTAAGCTTTGCTAGTTTACAGTATTTCTCCACTTAAAAAGTATGAACAGTCTGATTAAAGCACTACACGAGGTTCTTGGACATGGACAGAATAAAACTTACAAGCAACACACTACGATGAAGTTTGAAGGGCCATGCTGCTGTTATTTAACTCAGGATTCTTCTAACTTTGTGAATGCACAAGCAGTACAGTCTCAAGGTCACCCATGGTCTACCTTTCATACGCACATTTGCAGAGAACAAGATTTTACTTTACAGATGGATAAAAGTAGACAAACAAAAAATTTACAGCCTAGGCATTGTCTTTGCCAAGCCACCTATAATGAGCTTAAGGTCTTTTTGTTAAAATGACAAGTGCGACAAGATGAGCCAGAGAAATCTCACTGAGTCCTCCAACATGTCTAAATCAGCACACTCAAAAATCCAACACAGAAAGTGTTCTGTTTTGGGGAGTGTCTAGTCTTTGATATTTGAAAAAAGACACTTTAAAAAAAGGAATGTGTATTTGAGTGCTGCTAGCTAGCAAATGGTTAGGTAGACTTTCCCATACCTGCACAATGTCACACCATATAAAGGAACATTTATATCATAATGTATTATCTACAGCTGAATTTTAATACTCTTAACTACAGCTATTAGTTCTATTAGATCTGAGTTTTTTGCTAGTAAAAAGCCTAGTGTTTACATCAGTCTTACTTCACCTGTGGTTCCGCACTGCTTGTTTCTGTCCAAATCAATAAAAGCTATCTCAATATTAAAAAGCAGACTGTTAAATTGCCTACTTTATATTATTTCTTATTCAGACACTAATAAAAGAGGCTGCACCAGGCTTTATAACTGTGGGGTATAGGCAAATTGCTGAAAGCCCTCACTGTTTCAGACTATTTCCCTTAAAAAGAAACAGAAGAGCCCTTCTGATCGGTAATGATGCAACGGTCTCCACTAAAGTGCACAGAATGTCTTCAAGATAATGGCCTCCTGCGTGGTCAAAATATTCAGTGGTTGCACTTCTGTTCTGTCCTATGAACAGAAGCATCCACAGTTACCCCAAACTCCTTAATCCACTCCACACTAGTTCGCTCTGTGGACAAGACTCTCAGGCACACCACCCACAGAGACATCCAAATACTGAACCTTGATGAACCACAGCAGCTCCTCCAGCACTCCTTTCCAGAATACCCTCTTCGTTGTTAGCAGTGGAAACTGATCTGAAAAAGAGTTTTGGGGTGTCAGAGGTGACCAGCCACTTGTCAGGGTGACTTGACTTAGGGGTTTTCTCCACACAGAGGGTAATGCCACCACCTGACATCCAGAGGTTTGGATATGAAGTAAGAAGTGGGTAAAGGATGTGTAATTCTCATATGCAGATCAAGGAAGACAAGAACCTGACTTTTATTTTCCTGGTCAGAGAGGAAAGATTAATTAATCCATGGGGACTTTGACGAACCCCGCTGAGAGGACACCGCAGTGCAGCGTACGGATGTATGTGTAGGCAATTCACAATGGAAAGCAGAGGCTTAGGATAAAATTATTGCCAAATCTATTTCACAAACCATCCTTCCTACCACGCCTGAATGGTAGGAAGGACCAGGCCAGGCTGCCTCAAGATCTTACCCGTTTTTTCACCGGGTGACAGCTACGGGGC